ATATATATAATTTTTTAATATATAAATTATATTTTATTGTAACATAATATTATTTTTATTTATTGATAATTTATATTAAAAAAAATTAAATTAAATTCATAAATAATTATGATAAATTAAAATTAAAATAAATTAGAAGTTAAAAATTTTTTAACCCTCTTTTCGTCAAAAAAAAAAAGTTTTTTGTAAAAACACTTTCATGATAGAGATTTTTGTTTGACATATAAGAGTTGATTTAAATGTTTCAACTATTAAATTAAAAAAATTTATCGAATAATTCAACTTTATAATTTTTTACAAAAGAAACTAAAAAAATTATTTTATATTTCGTTACATTAATTCAAACACTTAATATGATTTTATATTAAATTGAATTGATTTACAAAAACATTTAATATTATCTATATCCTTAGTTTTATTTATTTATTTATAATATTGTGATATTTTGCGGTAAATAATGTTTAGATCACAAAAACTAGCTCTTACATTAAACACATTAAGTTGAATGTCTTATAACTCCCCCCTTCCTTGACCATTTGAAGAAATGAGAATCAACTTTATGAGAATGTCCAAACATTTGCTTTGCAATCTATCAATATAATTTTACATTAAATTGAATTGATTTGCAAATCTATATCTCTAGTTTTATTTATTTATTTATTTATAGTACCGTAATATTTTGTGATAAATAATGTTTTGATCGCAAAAACTAACTCTTACATTAAATACATTAAGTTGAATGTCTTAAATCTTTCTCTTTATTGGTCATTTGAAAAAATCAAAATCGACGTTATGAAAATGTTCAAACATAAAGTTTCATTGCTCAACAATTTATAACTATGATGAAAGATAAACTCTACAAAAGTTTAATGAAGAAAAATAAATTTTGTATTAAAAATATTGATTAAAAATAAAATTTATATTATATTTTTTAAAGGGAATTTTATATTATATTAAAACAAAAAAAATGATATTTATATTTTAATTAGTATTATTAATAATAAACCGATATTTAATGAATTAATGGCACCTTTAAGATAATAAATTAATTGTAAAATACATAAATAAAAGTGTATTATTTCATATGATATATTTTAAACCGATATTTTACTTTTTCCAAGCAAATCTTGGTTTTTGGGTGGGTCATCTTCTCTTTCTTTTTCTCCCAAAGTTTTTTGGGTCGTACGAGACCTAGAAATGGTTTATTTATTCATCACACGTGCGCTACCTTGACTTGTTACATATTATTCTTCTTAGTCAAAGGACAAACATTGATTTAGCTGCCTTTGTTTTCGGGAGTTTCGTAGAAGAATTATTCTTCACATATGATCTCCACATTTTGATTTATTAATGTTATTTAATTCAAATAAATCAATTTGTAAGTTAATGGTCAATCAGAGTACATTTTCTTTTTAAAGAAACCTCTTTCTTAAGTAAAAAGAAATCGACTATAATTATGTAATAAAAATTATGAATGTTTTTATGTTAAAACAAAATTTCATGCAATAAAAAATCATCGATTTAAGTCAAACTAGACTTAGCTTTTTTAAACAAATATCAAATTAAAAATTTACAAATAAAAAACCGTAGTTAAACAAAAAAATCTCACTAAAAATTTGTTTGAATAATTTTTTCTAAAAATACTTTTAAGGAAAAACAAATGAAGAAAAATTGAAATAAGTTTTTATATAAATTAAAGAGGGGGAATTCTCTTACTCTAAGAGTAAGTATTTGTAAACATAGTTCATTCAATAACTTATATTCTACACTAAATTTTAATAATTTAATTGTCAAATTAAAATTTTTTTTATGCATACATAGATCAAGTTCATAAAATTTTAAAAAAATTTAAAAATTATTTAATATTCCATTTCACTAGTTCAAATTGATAAATAATCATAAAAATATTTTATACGTTGATTTGAATCTATATAACAAAATATCATATAAAATTTAAATTATTTTAAAAAATTTGTAAATTTGATTTATACATTAAAAAATTTTAATTTAATGGTTAGATCATTAAAATTTAATAATAAAATTTTTTTTTAAGTGAAATAAGTTCACAAAAACTTAACTTATGATAAATTTATAATACTAGTTTTATAACTAATGCAATGCACATAAAGATACAACACTCAATACCAAGAAGGTTTACAATACTCACACGCATTTCTCAATTAACTAAGACAGACTTTCTTAATATAAAATAAAAATAAGAAAACTTACATTCAGGGTCGGACCTAGGCATGGCAATCTAACCCGCTCCCGTGGGTACCCGCCCGAACCCGCCCCGATTTGGATGGGGAAAACCCGTGTTTATCGGGTTCGGGTTCGGGTTTGGGTTTTCCCCGATTGATAAAATCGGGGGCGGGGGCGGGGGCGGGGATGTTAATCCCCACCC